GAGAAAAAAACTATCCCATATTTATTTAATTAGGCCTACTGCAGCAAAATATAATTCAACTATTCAAACATGATAAGTCACATATTTGAGATTGAACAAAAAATATCATGCGGGATAAAGCTTAAATAATCATGTGCCCCTTTTGAATGACCACATTCGTTCCTGGTACCTATATGACCTTGATACTATTGTGTGTGTGAAAGTGTCCTTTATCTTGTGATTATATATGGGTAATACGCTACGCGGCCGTATTTTCCCGCAAAACTGCAAGCAATAGATTTTAACATGAGAAGTTTATTTATCATTTTACGCCAATTTTGTAGGACCAAAATTCGTTCCTGGTATAAAATATGACCTAGACTACGACCTAGATACTGTAGCCTAAAGTAGTCGCAGCTAGTCTGGGCGCGCGGCCACGCTATGGCGGGGGGTGTAGAGGGGAGTGTTTATTGCTCATTTCCAAAAACATCTGGCCCACACGGCCAGACTCTGGGGTTGCTCAGCGCTGTCTTCATGGCTTAGGGGTGGGGGATCATTAGTACACAAGGGTCTGCGCGCCCAGACTAACTGCGACTATTGTACTGTCGTGTGCGTGAACATTATGTGCTTCATTATATGACTATTTAGGTATTACGATGCGTGACAAGTTTTTTTTTTTTTTTTTTTTTTTTTTTTTTTTTTTTAAATGGCAAACAATAGTTTTATAAAAGCATGCGCACTACTTGTTGCTAAGTTATTGCCAGATTCACACCAATATGAGATTACAATAGAACCACAACCAATTAGACAAGAAGTTAATCAGAAATTAACCATTTATTCAACTCAGTTCAGCCGTTTTTTCAAGGCCTACACTTTAATTTATACCCCACATTTAAGTACTCACATACAGCATGTTAGGTTAAGCACGGGACACACTAAGCTCAGCACCACCAAGCAGCAACTTTTGTACGGGTCACACTAGGCTGCTTGTCAGCCGCTAGTGATCAGCGCCCGTGGCACCTCATAACGGACTTAAGTGATTATAAAGTGTAAGAATGTTTAAAAAAAGAAAAAGACAAATCTAAATTTATGAAAAATCTGAAGGCATTCTTACTTGACCTTGCACCTTACAAAATAGAAGATTTTAGTAATTTAAATTTAAAATAATGTAGCCTATAGTATTTTGTTTAAATGTTTCTTATTGCTAATTTAGGTAGTAAGTAACAATAGACAATAGACACTATTCATGTACGAAAATTTGTACTGTGTGAATAAAGACTCTTTGAATCTTGAATCTTGAATGTGTAAGAAAGATGAGGTTTTGCAGCAAACCTCTAGGCTATGAGCTGATTCTCTGACGTTCCCTACCTACATCGTTGAAGAAACAACCTAAAGTTACAGTACAAGCACCCACAAGTTTAGTTTTGGAATAAATTTAAGAAATAAATAACCTATTTCCACGACCACTTCAGCTCAGTAATTTCAGCGCTACAAATTACTAAGTTACTTTTGGTCGCTTAGTTTAAAGCTCAGTTTTTGAAACCATGTCTCCTTGGGCGGCTCATAACCCATTGCTTGTGTAGGCTAAAACAAAGTGGAGAATTACTTGTGGTTGCCGATGGCACGCTTCTAGAGGTGGTCAGACTACACTAGTGGCTGGCGTAAGCAAGTGACCACGTTACCTCTAAGTCGCTGCTGCCTCGCTACTAGCCTAGTTGAACAAGTCCGACTTCACCAGCCGCTGACAAATTACTTACTCGTCGGCTGGCAGTGCAAGCTGCAAATTCTGTGGTCACATTAAGCTGACAGTAGCGGCTTCTCTTAATTCGCCACGGATGCTAGCCTAGTTTGACCTGTGCTTTAGGTTAGATTAGATTAGCCTAGTTTCATTTTATAAACAACTGGTAAGGGCCTAGTTAGCCTAATGTATAAGTAATAGCGAATGTGGGGTGTAAACTATAAAGTCTACCCGCCGTTTTCAGTACCCTACTTGGCCGGTGAAAAGTGTCAACCCATCAGGAATCTTTAGGCCTAGATGTACTAGCCTATACAGCCTGGGCTATGGACTAACACATGTGGAAATGATCGCAAATAACCTACTGAAATGAGATAATAAAAACTACTAGCCTAAACAATAACGTGTTCGGTGTACATGTCAAGTTACGTATATGTAAAAACCCATCTTAATAATTGCATCTCAGTTACTTACCCATTCTGTTAAAATAAACGTGGCCGTGCAATAGAAACGCGTAAAGAAAGAGCCGCAGCCGATGAGGAAGGAAACACCGGAACCGAATAAAAAAAGTCCAATGCCTTGCCACTTGCCAGCCAGGTAATTCACACAGAGGAAGGAAATCAAACAGGAACTAATTGTACGCTGATTTAATTATATGGCTTTAAATGTATAACAAGTGTAATAACTGAATGCTTATGGCAAAATCGACGCTTATACTATGAATATAAAATACAATGATTGATTTATTAATTTTTTGTTTGGTATTTAAAAAGAGACTATAGACAAAAGAGGAAATTCATTTATTCATTTATTCATTCCGACGGCAATCGCCATTTTACAAAATAATACCATAGATAACACATACTCCCTTAGTAGATTTCTCATCCTTATGGAACAGCTGAAGACAATTTTATTGTTAGTTCTGTACGGTTTTCTGTAGAGGTCGTGTTTTGTTTACAATTTGTTTCCCGTTATTACAGCCATTTAAAACCTCGTTTAACCAAATAATACGATCTAATCATAAACAATAACCTGTCCCCTAGTTATATAACCAAACAGTAAAGCACAAATCAAGAAATTAACCCTAAAATAATAGAAACAAAGTTTCGTCGACACTAGCGCCCATGTGTCACGTACATGAACTAGACACGAAAAACGTGCTTCAAAATTTACAATGGGATGAGAAGTCTACTTGTGTTGGTTAGTCTATGATAATACATTGGACAAGATTTACATACAACAAGATAATACAATAGAAAACATCAATAAATGAGTAAGAAGATTGGTGGTGGTGGTGGACAGTTTGAGTGAATTGCAATAGTTACAACATTGTGAAAAAAGTAACAATAACAAGAAACAGTGTAAATAATTAACATCAATAACAACAACAAGAAAAATTGTGAATAATAAACACCAATAACAATAACAAGAAACAGTGTAAATAATTTACATCAATAACAATAACAAGAAAAATTGTGAATAATAAACATCAATAACAATAACGAGAAACAGTGTAAATAATTAACTACAATAACAATAAGTGTGAATAACAATCAGTAACCATCAAAATGACAACATCGTGGATAATTAACATTAATAAATTTACTATACATAACAATAATAGACTATGGCAATGATGAGCGTCGTATGGGGTTTTGTGTAAGCTACGTGATCATCCAAAAATAGGGGCCGTCCACATATTATCATAGGTAAAACATACTCCCATATTATGTAACGCTTAAGGTTGGGGAGGGGTTCGGCTTTGCGTTACAGAGCGTTACAAAGATCGGGGGAGTTCAAGATCGTTATGGTAACGCACAAAAATCTATTAACATGAAAGAATGGATTACGGTCACTCTGAGTTAACATTGTGGCAAATAAGATACATCTGATAATGTTTTACTGTTAAATTAGTTTAAATTTTGTTTAGAAGTGCCACATTAAAAAGGCACTTAAACAAACTAAACTATAAGTTTTAGAAACTATAATGGTACTGAAATGTTACTATTATTAAACTACTGGTCTATCCAACGTTTTTTGAGTTTATCCACCTACCCAAAAGCTTGTTTATCTTTTAACACAAGACACATAAGAAAATTCCAATTAAATAATAGCATAGGCTAACAAACACAAGTTTTCTATCTCTAATACTTGATAATATCAATGGTAACAAACGAGAAGAGCATAGTAACGAGTATAACAAAGTAGAAGAGTTTTTGAAACAAGAATATCCCAAAACTATGTCGACCATGGCCACGACTGCCTTTAACTCCAGCCCGCGGCCTGTAGTTAAAGGCGGCCCTGCCATGGCACACCCGTAATGGGATGACTACAAGTATCAAGTATACAGTTGGTATTGGTAATCTCTAAACCATAATTAGTGACTGTATACCATGCTCTTTTTCAAAGCCACGTAAGCTATGGCATCGCACTATGGGGTCATACTGCAGCTGCAGCACATGACATCTTGCTCCTTCAGAAAATGGCTCTGAGGGTGATTACGTCTGCCGGGTACCGTGACCAATGTAGGCCTATCTTTAGGGATTTAAATATCCTGACCGTCTATAGTCAGTACATCCTCAATAGCATGGTATTACTAAAGGAAAACTCAGCAAAACTTGTTCGACGTGAGGACCAACACTCTTACCAGACCCGACATGCCAATTTACCTGACCTGCCTATATGCCATCTTGTCTGGACCCAAAAGGGCTACCGTTATTATACCAGTAAGCTCTACAACGCACTCCCATCCCATCGTGCAGTGCGTGAGTTGGACGTGAGAGCTTTTAGAGACAAACTGAAGGACTATTTGGTGCGCAGACCTCTCTATTCGTTGACTGAGCTAGAGGACACACCACTTTTTAGCAACCCACCGTCATCATAAGTTCTTATTATTTATTTTATTAGTTTTAATTCTACGCAATATTTTCCGACTTTGTTGGAAATTGCTCATTTTTAAAAATTATTCCGTTTATCGTTAACATTTAAATCTGTTTAGATAGTTTTTCTACCATAAATTAAAAACACTTAGTCTATAGTTCTTCCAGTGATTATTTATCTCCCCTAGAGGATAGATGTAGATACTTGTGGAGGTATATAATCAACGGTTATACTTATTGAGCTGTCTAATTATACACATTAGTTATGTACAGCTTAATTAAAGTTGGTTCATGTTTTCCAACATTCCTCTATGGACACCATTTGTCCTAAACCAGAACCAAAACGTCAAAACCAAAAACCAAACCAAAACAAAAAGATAGAGAGGATAGAGGCTGTTTAGGTTTAGGTTTGTTGACGTTACAGTAAGTACTGTAATTATATCACGATATCACTAATAAACTATCACGAAACGATTAAAACCCCTGTTAGAGGCTTGAGAACTACAACAGAAGCACTGGCAACTTGTATGCTGTACAACTTCAGTAGTAAGTGTAAGGCCCAATTCCTCCTTACGATTAAATACTCACAGTCTCATTTTCAATAAGTTTTTAATTCTCATTTTTTAATTTTTGCTTGTTATTGTTATTATATTGAAATATTTATCAATTGTTATCTAGTTTTGGTAATCGTCAATTTTTCTCTAAAAATGTTTATGCATGTTAACCAGGATTTGTTTACGTATGATCATTACTTGCATTTTTGGTACAATCCTGTTTGTAATTTTTCATGTTAGCAATCTTTTTATTGTCTAGCAAGATGAATCTGAATCTGACATATATATATTTATAAATATTTATCTTGTAACTTAACACTCATGTACTATCGATTGTAAAAATGGTGTTTACCGTATGAATAAATAAATAGGTAACTTACAGTAAATTATTGACCAATTTATTCTAAGGTACTAATATAATAATAATTTGCCTTATCCATTCATTTTTGTTAATTACGTTTATCGGCAGAGGTTTGAATACAAGGATGTGCTTTAAGCTGTTAAACGATGCAAACCCCGAAGAACAATTCCATACCGCAAGTGGCGCTCGAACGGAGTGGTGTAAGCTATCTTGCCGGCTTCATTAGAGCTGATGATGTGTTTCACTCTTCTGATGGCGAACTTTAAGAATTTTAACTTGTTGCATAATTCATCAATGAATGATATTATGAAGTTTTTTTTAAATTATTGAAAAATTGATAAGTTTTCCTAAAATACTTTAAGCTTTATGTCATGTTTCAGGTGGGCTGAAATGACAGTCAAAACCAGTATGAGGGCTCAACAGAGTGAAAGCTCCGACGAGGAAAGCTTAGTCCACGTGTTTGTTCAACAGATGCTTGTCACAAGGATATTTGCTGCGACTTACACTGGCAGGAACTACGTACACCCACTGAAAGATTACAGGTATATATGGGATCTTGCTAGCCAATTTAGCTTATTATCAAATTTATAAACAAGAAAACCTTTTGAAAATTGTTCATGTGTGTATTAATACCTAATATCTTTTTGATTATAGGCCTATAAGCAAACTACTCAAACACGCTGCAATAAATGACTAAATATATAGCCTATAGAAGCTGCTTCAGTTGGCAAGAAATAAATGGCCGGACATCTTACAAACGGCTAGTAGCACACAACATACCGCTTACTTTCATGCTTTTGAACCGAAACATTGTTCAGGAGCTAGCGGATTGTGCAGACGTTGTTGACCGAATATTTTTTATTTGTTTCTTATCATTTAGTGATACAAGCTGCTACAAGTCTTTCTGTCTCCTTAAACTTTTTGAAACAATTTCCAAACTGTCTGTATGTAGCCTACTGAAACTGTCTTGAATGTACCTAATCGTGTTTAATGTTGAAAAGGATCCTTTAAAACAAATCAATTTCCTTTTAGTATTCCTTGAGTTTTTTTGGTACAAAACCTATAATAATAAATTAATTTTGCTGATAAAACATTGCAGTACCGGTAATTCAAATATGACACATTTTACAATAGCATAGTTTTAGGTAGTGAGTTTGACCATTATATAAGTAGCCTAGTATAAATAAGGCTACAAATATTATAAAAAATGCATGTAGGCCTGGATAATATTTTTAAGGCTGAGCTGAATTGGCAAAGACAAGAAATCGTTTTAAGGGGAATAGCAGAAGGGCCTATTATGAGATTGATATGTGTGGCTCAGTGTCCAGGTAGAGAACTTTGTTGCTATTGGCGCAGGTGCAGAGTCAGTTAGTCAGGTGTTGTGAAATGTTTTCAAAATGACCCCGAGCTAACCTTTCGGCCACACATCCTATTTCCCAAGGCCATAACCCTTAAAGAAAGAGTGATGAAGATTCTGAAAAAGTGATGAAGGAAGTATTTGTTAACAATGTAAATGATATGCTGACAAATTAATTTCAGAGGTTTTGATGCATTTTCAACCATGAAAGAGTCCCGAGGTAAATAAATAAACCTCTCAGTGTATAATCTAAATCATTATTATCAATTTGAATGGGCTAATTCTTCTTCTTGTTGTGCACGTTTTTAGGGACATGGTCCAAGTTAATGAGGAAGAGAAAGATCTTATTAGAGATTTAGAAATAGTAAAGAAGAGGATCAACAGTGTGTACAAAGGAGCGATGTGGGCAGCGATCACAGGTAATTAATTGTATTTTCAAAAAGCTAGACAAATATTGCAATGTAATATTATGTCTATCAATTAAATATTGAAGTTTCATTAAACAGCTTTAGCTACTTATGAACTAGTTATGAATTCTTCTAGTCACATGTATTTTTTAACCCAAAAAAGATGTGAAGGAATGAGAATACTAGGCCTATATTATAGATTACTTTTTGACTTTTGAGATTTGAGTTACTGTTCTTGTTTTTGTATAGGCCTACTAACGTTTAGTATTCAAAGCCTTCTTCAAGTCTTTCAATGACGCCATTGTAATTTCTTGACGAAACTACAAATAAAGAATAATTTGATTTGATTCTTTAAGATAATACGTTATTGTTGATTAAAATAATTATTTAAATTTGAAATATTAGTTCTCTCCAAGGTGAATCACAGAAATGTTCTATTCATAGATATTTGTGAATATGTAATTTTTCACAGCTTTAGCAAGATAACACACTTTTCCAGGTCAGTTAACTATTGAAAAATCTTACACTATTAAAATAAAAATACACCAATAAATATTTTGATTTTAATAAAAGGATTATTTTCAAACATTAAAGTATTTTCAGAACCATGGCAGTATGGCAAGGAGCAAATCAACAGTATTATTATCAATGTCAGAGACTGTGACTGAATTCTCTGCAAGTTTAATGCTTTTGTTGTTCACAGGGCCTGACGATTCAGACTCAGACGCGACAGCTGGAGTCTGTGTTTGGACGAGACTACAGGAAGTTGCGTTCGGCAGCTACTGGTTCATGATCCAACAAGTTAGCTTCTCTGCCCTCGGAGAACTTGTGTTGAATCTCAAAGTTGTCAGGTATACCTTCCAAGTTTTGACAGTTGCGTAAATGTAATGAATGGGTTGGACACATAAAATTGCTGCCAAGTACAAATTTTTTTAAATTCTGAGATGTACCATAAAAATATGAAACAAGAACAAAAATATAACATAATTTTGGTTGAAGAAAAAAAACTACCAAATAAATAAAATAACTGTACATCTGATGGGTTTGCTATAACTTTTTTTAACTTTGTTCATTAATTAAATTAATTGTAAACACATATGCAATAGTTACCAATAAATGTGATTTGTTTTTCTGTGGGATGAAAAATGAATGTGAATATACAATGAAAAGGAAGTGATGAGAAAGTGGTTATTCCGGTGGGAGTTAGTGTATCAGTTAACTGTTATCGTGTTGGCTAGCAGCTGAGCAGAGACTGTTTTGCAAGGGTCAGGTCAGACACGCTGGTAATCAGCTGTGATGATAACATTGGCCTCGGCTGTTCCTAGATTGAAGAGAAAATTCTTTACTTGAATTTAATGTGTTGTGAGAAGGAGAATAAAAACATTTAGGCCTACAGTAAGTTAATATTAAATAAGGTGCAAATGTTAGAGAAATTAAAAAGGTAGTTAAAGAAAAAGAATATAATTTTTTGCAATGTAGTAATTAATTCTATCTCTTAAAGAATACATATTAATTAATATGTTGTTCGCCGAACCTTTAATACCCCATATGGTTGGTTATCCTGTTAGCATATTGTACAAACTACAAATTTTTCACAAACTGTTTCAGAAAGTACGAACCAGAAACCATCAGGACACCAAATATTTTAGATAGCTCCATGGACTGGGAAGAAATCAAGACGAATCTCCTGATAAATTTAAAAGTTTGGGGAGCATTTTTACTACAAGGCATTCAAGAACTGGTGACTATGCACAATATTAAAGAAACTTTCAGGTTTTTGTTTCTTTTAGCAATGACTCTAGGAACCGGTCTGATGAACGGGTTACAATTCCTGGGTGATTATTCTATCAAATTCTTCAGAGAGTTCAACAACTTTATTAGAGTAATGACACCCATCTTCCTCGCACTGATTGATATGTTGTCCAAGACGATAGGAGGGTTTTACTTGTTGATCGTAATGTTGTGGAGGGGGGGCCAGCAAGGTCCGCCGCCTCAGTTCCCAGCTCTGATGGCAGCCTCGCAACGGAACTTTCAAACTGGTTACCAAAAGCGACCTCCTCCTCCTCCTGGTTACCGGAGGTACCATGATTATTAATTTGTTCCACTATTTTTTATCATAGACACTTATTAGGTTTCTTACCTTAAATGTAAAATAGACATTAAACCTTTGAGCCTCAGTGATCTAAATATATAAAAGGCAAAGCCCTCACTGACTGACTGACTGACTCACTCACTCACTCATCACTAATTCTCCCACTTCCCATTTACCTAGGAGGCTGAAATTCGGTACACCGATTCTTTGGGCATTAAATAGGAAAACTAAGTCGTTTTTATTCTGATCGGGCTTTCGGGCTCCGCCCCAGTGGCTCTAGAGTTTCCCATGTTAACCTTATGATTTTTCATATTTAAAAGGAATTTCTTAACAGCTGTTTCAATTAAACAAGTTGGTTCTGTTCTATGATGTGTAATAGCATTAAAGTTACAAGGATTACCAACAGGGTGCAGCACTATTATTTTTTTTTTATTTATGACTACAGCCAATTTGCAACCAAAAGGTGAGTGAGCATAGCGAACGAACTTCAACCTGGAAGTGAGTTAGCGTAGCGAACGAGCTAACCTGAAGGCAAGTGAGCGGAGTGAACGAGCTCCAACCTAAAGGTGAGTGAGCGTAGCGAACGAACTTCAACCAGGACGTGATTGAGCCATGCGAACGAGCTCACTCGTGAAGTTAAACGGGGGAAAGCCCGCGGGTACAGCTAGTTATATATAGTTTGATATGCCTATTTTTGTAACGCCTGCCCCTTTAATTAAGAGCAAAATATTCTAAATTCTAGTAGAACGAGTTTTAAGTGGCCACATAAAGTTAAGAAAAAAACAGTTAGTTGTGATGTGCTTTTAAAGAATCCTCCCGTCAAGACACTCCACTCAACTTCCACCTAACCCATCCACCATTTTAGGTGGGCCTCCTAGGCTTGTGAAGTGAAACAGATTTTACCCATTTTAGATAAGTTATTATGTTTGCCTAGATATTTGGAAGCAAAAGTTAGTTTATGTTACCCACAATAGCTTATATCATTTTGGGGCTCAAAAGTTTAATAAAGCATGTAAAACACCATTAAATAATTGTTATTGTTGTTTTTTTTTATCAATGAGATAATTTATTTATATTTTGAGAATATTGAATCTATCTTTTAATTTTGTTGACTGTACACGTTTGTAAGGTAGCCAACTGCAACCTACCTTAAGAAAACTATATAGGCTAGTCTTTGTTGATTTTCTTCAAAACAACTATGAAATATAACGTAAACATTCGCTACTTAATGTCAGTATTTTATGCATTTTTTCAGTTTTAAAAACTGATCTACTTACTCTATGTCAATACTTGACGTGTGTCAAAAATAAATATCGAAGGTTTTATATTTTTAAATAAATAAGGTGCTTGTATTTTTTCAGTATTGTATTTATTTTCCTTGCCATCTTTTGTAGTCAATCAATTTATTAAAAACAAAATGCAATTTAATTCAGACCATTTTTAATATGAACAGAGGAAACAAATTCGAAAATAATGACAAGAGATACTTTTATTGGTTTGTTTGCTTGTTTTCAGCATTTGTTTGGACTTAAAACAGTCCAAAATAAAAATAAGCTACAGTTGAGAATCGAAAATCCTAACGTCAGAAATCCAAACCACTCCTGAGGGTTTTAAAATATTGAATTAGCACAGAGACAACAGATGTTTTACAATTTCGCGGGCCAGTCAACGCGTGGCAGGGAAATGAGTGAAGACGCCGAGCCAGTCTGTGTTTTGTTCGTTTCCAATGTATAAGCTCTATATCTTTTTTTCAAGAAACGAATTACAGTTATATAACAAAAATACCTAAGTACAAAAATCATTATTTTTATTTTATTCACTGTATCCTAGAACAGATTTTTAATACTCTAGGCCTAATTATGTGTCTATTAGGCATTTCTAGGCTATGTTTGAAAATCCGAACAAATTGCTAGCCTAATCTGAACTACCTACGGTCCCAATTGGTTCGGATTTTTGACTCTCTACTGTATAATTTATGCTTACAGGAAAAAAATAGTAAATAAGAATCTCTGTTCACATTTTTGGAAATAATTATTCATATAAAGGTGACTCTAGACACGTTCCATTCGCCGAACAGCGACTCGTGTGGATAGGTGTTTGTCTAAGTGGCACGTAGCAAACATTTGTGCTTGTGTTTTTCCGTTCATTGTCAGTATTTTTGCACACATCAAAGTGAACGAATATTTGCTATTCCAGAAACGAACAGTTGTTCGGAAAACAACTCGTGTGTAGACGTCTACTTGTAAATCGAGGAAGACAATTAATCACCAAATCAACTATTTCATGCATGGCGATTGACGCATGTCTGGAGCCGCCTTAAATCTATACAGACACAAATGGGGTGAAAAATCTCAGCTGTTGGTGTTCTACAGCTAGTGTGCTTATTACAGTGTGTTGTTGTTGTTGTTGTATTGTTGCACAGAATAGTATTGAACTTAGGGAGAAAAATCAGAGTAAGTTTAACTTTTGACACAGATTCTCATAGCCTACAATCTTCATTATTCAGGCTCTTCTTCACAAAGTGCCATAGATTATTTAAATTATGGCTGTTATAGATGATAAAAGGTGTCATGGGTTATTTGTTCAACACCACAACATAAAATGTTCTGAAACATTAAATTAATTGTCTTCAGTCAATTCAAGAGGGTAGGCTTGTAAATAGAAGGGAGTAAGTTTATTAAGATTTTTAATCTAGAATTCCGTAACACATAAAGAACACAGGTACGGTACCAAAACTCCAACTAAACCAACAAAATATATTTATTTACAATCCGACACAACCAAACACCTCCACACATATCCGACGTATACATTTTTGTTCTTACAGGGTACCATTATTTATGGCTAGTATTAAATGGGTTGGTGCCTATCTCTATGAGTAGATTATGAGTAATGGAGTGTAATATATAGTGATCTAGGCCTTGGCTATGCCGATGACACCACATGCAAGACGAGCCCCAGCATTGCCGGTAGTCTTGCTCAATTCGTGTCCTCCCTTACCCAGATCATCCGGGTCTGCGTGAACCTGCAAACCAGAAATAATTGTAACTTTATGAACCGGCAAACCAATACTACTTGTAAATTTATGAACCTGCAAACCAATATTAATTTCCAATACTAAGTCTATTCTAAGAGTATCACTTCAATTTTATCTTAAGAGCAGTGATTCCCAACTGTTTTCTGTTGTAGTGACTAAGATGTTTTTCGTCCAACTTGGTCATATAGAAGTAATGGTTGAAATATGTTTACAATTTACCATCTTGCTACACATCAGGCAACCTATCTTGATGTACACAAATTTGTAAAATTGGATTAACCGTGGGAAATAAATAAATAAATTTAACTAACCTAATTAACCCATTACAAACATTTAGCATTTGAACCTTTCCTAAAAAGTTTTTGTTTTTGTACCTGAGAGAAAAGTATGTAACACACACTAGAGTCTTAATTTTGCTAACACTACTTGGGTGAGAATCAACCACTTAGTTTTTGTCATATAAAATGAAACTAACAGAATAATCTTGTCTTCATTCAAACATCTTGTGTACACGCAGATGCCTACCGTAGCATTTTTTTTCAAACTGAAAATAGTTTGATTAACATACATACTCAATAGTTTAGTTAATAGTTGGTTAGTCAATAGTTAATAGTTTAGTTACATACTCACTTGAATGTGAGTGTACTTCTTTCGGAAATTCTATTTGGTTTCATAGAACATACATTTTGTAACATAACTCAATACTGAAAGGTGTTCTCAGGTAATGCTTACCACGACAGTCCTGCCCAATATGCTGAGAGGGCCATTGAGTGTTATCAGCTTATCAGTGATGTTGACCTTGGCTACCCCCTTATCGTCAGCTGTCACGTTGCCGAGGTCGCCGATGTGACGGTTACCGTCCGTTGGGGCTCCGTGTTCCTTGTTACCCGGGTTGAAATGAGGTCCGGCACTCGTACAGCCTGCAAAGCAACAAGTTCCTCTTACTTCACATTTCAGACTCACTTTTGTGTACAGGACATCAATAATTCGTATTAAATGGGACTACACCCCATCCATGCTACAACATTTTCAGGAATATTGAGAATATTGAAAATAACTAAAAAAAACACAGTATGGGATTAAAAGGTTTAAAAATTATGTTCGATAATACAGGTACAGTACAGGGCCTAAAAGAGGGACGAATAAAACAAATTTGTTTGTGTTCAAGCACTGTTTTGTATGAAATTTATTGCAATAAGTGTACAGTAAAAACATAAAACACTACATTTGAGCTTCAAATAAATGTGTGATAGGCTCTTGAACTGCAGTTGAGGTACGTTTTATCATTGTTTTATGCAGCTTTATTTCGACAGTCCTTTTAGTCTATTCTAAAAGGATCAACTGGATGGGTTAGTCCTCTTTTTGTTTGTCTCTAAGCTGTTTCCATCCCTCGGGTGGCCGGGGGACGGTTGCAGCGTAGCAGACGACACCATCCCCCTCCCCCTTAATAACAAACTTAAAGAGATTAGTACAAGCTGGTCAGATTAAAATTTTATTTCTTGATAAAGACAATTCCAGGTTATTAACAGTCTGGATTCTTAGCGTCCAGATTATCGACGTTTACTTGCCATACTTGCGTATACTTGCCAGGGCTGAAATTTCTTGTAGAGAAAATGCTACAATACTTAAGCTCAACTGTAAGCTCATCTAATCATTGCAAAGTTACATACATAGCCTAGAATTCCATTATTGTTTCCTGATTTGTAGCTGATTAGAGTTGTACAATAGGTAGGCCTACTTTAAATTTTGTCATTGACATTAATGGATCAGAGTCAGATAAAGCCATATAGAATTACCAAGATAAATTGATATTCAAAAGTGATAATGACGGTATACAAATTACATAAGTTTTCCCAGGCTAGTGTCCGAAAAGTAAATGAGGTTGTTAGTGTATGATTGTCTAAAATGTGTTAAGTTACCAGCCCCACATAAACTTAGAGCTCGCAAGCACCCCTTTGGTAATAGAAGTTTCTGCGGTTGCTGTAAAACTTAATAAACATGCAAAATTATTTGTTCTGGGCGTTTATCGTCCCCCAGGAGAGGGCAAGGATGCTTTTGATCTTTCCTTGGAGACTCTTTCAAAAATTCTAGACCCTTGGGTGACACAGCATGACATAATTCTCATCATGGGTGACTTCAACATCGACTGCCTAGTATCATCAGCAAGAAGCAAACAACTGGAAGAACTCCTAACGACTTTTAACGTTCACCGAATTAAGCTTCCTCCTACAAGAATTTCAAAGGAGTCTTCAACATCAATCGACATGTGCTGTGTATCCTCAAATTTCATACAAGAGGTTGACGTTCAAGTTATCAATACTGGAATTTCGGACCATACTGGACAATTGTGCAGTATAAACCTACCTGTAGTACAAACAAAACCTTGTATTTACTCTCTCCGTAGCCTCAAACCACATAACTTAGATAATTTAAAACTTCTTTTATCACTTCAAGACTGGACAACTATCTTAGAATACAGATGTGTTGAGGATGCCTACAATAGTTTCATTTCAATCATTACTTTAGCTCTTGATGCTACATGCCCCCGAACAATGTCCCGAAGCAAGAAGAAAAATCCGGTAAAACATGTTTACGATGATGAAGCCAAAATTATGAGAGAAGACTTCATTCGTGCTCAAGACCTCTACATCCTAAGAGGAAAAGAAGAAGATAAACTTCAGGCAAATCATTTAAAGAAAACCTACGACCTAAAGCTGAAATCGCTGCGTCGTACAGCCACTGCCAACTACATCTCGGAGTCCTCAATAAAGTCGAAGGCTATCTGGAATGTGATTAATAGTGAGCGGAAGTCAAAAGAGCTTGGACCTGAAAGTTGTAAATACCTCATGGTGGACTCAAACAAAGTAGAAGATCCCAGGAAACTTGCTGATTGCTTTAATGCTTACTTCACATCAGTTGCTGAAGATACATTAAAAAACATCCCTGACCAGAAGCCACGAATCGAACAACACACCCAACTTGATGTACCATTTCCCTTGATGTCGTTTCCACCTACCTCTAAGCAAGAACTGCTCAAGATTATCTGCAGTCTACACAACAAGACTTCCTCAGGCTTAGATGATTTTTCGTCAATCATGGTTAAACACTGCAAAGATGAACTAGTAACACCTCTACAACATATAATAAACCTAAGTATGTCCCAAGGTATTTTCCCAAGCAAAATGAAAAGCTCAATAGTAATTCCGATACACAAGAAAGGAAGTAAACACGACATAGAAAACTATAGGCCCATCTCATTGGTTTCTACCTTCTCGAAGCTTGTGGAGAAGATAGTTCTTATTAGGCTCACGGATC